GGGAAGTGTAAATGTACTTCAGGTATTAAAGTTGTACTTTTTATATCAGCTTTGGCATGGACTAGGAAATTGACCCTCAGGCTACAAAGAGGGAGAGCAGAGAGGTAGAAGGAAACACATAGAGAAAAATCAGAGTGATATGTTGAGATATGCTGCAATCTTGCCACAAAATTTTCTTCTGGTAAACCCATTTACTATCTTGAGGATTTTCCTCACCCAAAATGTTGACACTGGAACACTGTCCTAATTCCATTTCACCAGTGTCATAGTCATCCCCAGTCTCAATGCATTGAATGTGAGAGTGTGTGATCCTTTGGCCTGGTCCCCAGCCTAGAGATTATGCAAGTTTAGAGATTGGGTGGATCTTCACCTCCCCTTCCCCACTCCTTCAACCAGAATGCTGCTCCCTACTTTCTCAGGCCTATCCCTGAGTGTGGGAGGAGGGGCCAGGGTCAGAACATTTCTGGCCTCCCCACCCCCTCTGGGTCATCCCCTGGTTTGTCTCCTGGCCTGAAAGGCTGTAACGTGGGATTGAGTCCTGGGGCTATAGGTGAGATTTCACACCATGCCATTGCCTGCTGACTAACTCCCCAATGTGACCCTGTCCTTGGCGAGATAGTGTTCGTTGCTCTCAGCTTGTGCAGGAAGAGATCTCCTACAGAGGTCAGGAATCTATGTTTACTGGTGGTGCACCCTCCCTCCCAAATGGAAATCCATTCAACTGCAATTTTCTATTTTAGGCTCTGCAATTAGATCCTAAATCAGTGGAAACTGGAGCCAAAAGATGATCGCTTCACAATAGTTAATAAACTGAGATATGTATATATTTTAGCCAATTTTTGACCACTTGTTCTCCATTCAAAATTAATGTTCTATTCTTGTATGTATAACCTGAAAATGGCCATTTTATGTTTTTCTGTTGAGGGAAAGATATAAGTAAATTATCAGCAAGAATTACAATTTTGTTTTTTACAGCTTTCCAGTAATATAATTTTTTTGTTTGCTTGTTTTTGCCATTTTAATGCTCTGATATTTCTGATTTGGCAGCTTTCCAGGTGAATATGATCCCTTTAAGTGGTACATCTTATTGCCAGCCCATTGCATTAAATAAGATAATATATGTAATCCCAGTGTCTTACATGGAATATATACTCAATAAATTGTCATTATTATAAATTAATGATAAAACAACACTACTAACAGTTGCTTCATTTGGTTAAACTTTAACTTCTTTTATTTAATATGTAAACAATTCTGGAAATGTTTAAATTCTAATAGGAGTGAGTTGGTTTAGTATATCAATTTTCTTGAAACTTAGGAAGCCTTGGATAGGGAAAAAATTCTATTAAATGAAAATAGGATGTAGTTGTCTTCACAAATTTGGCCAGGGATATTAATAATGCAAAAGTTAATTTTGAATTTTCAGCTTTAAAATAGTAACAATCTATATGTTTTCTAAAATATTTAAGGGTTTTTTGAGTAAGAACTCAAAAGCACAGGCAACAAAAGCGAAACTAGGCAAATGAGATTGCATCAAACTAAAAAGTTTCTGCACAACAACAATAACAAAAAATTAACCGAGTGAATCTCCCATTTCTACCAAATGGGAGAAAATATTTGCAAACTCTGCATCTAACAAGGAGTTAATATCCAGAATATATAAAGAACTAAAACAATTCAATAGCAAAACAATAATTAAATTTTAAAATAAGCAAAAGACCCAAAGACCTGAAGAGACATTTCCTAAAAGAAGACATACAAATGGCCAACAGGGTTGTGAAAAAATGCTCAGCAGTGCTAATCATCAGGGAAATGTAAATCAAAACTACAATGAGATAGCACCTCACCCTAAGGTAGAATGGTTATTATTGAAAAGACAAAAAGTAGCAAATGCTAGTGTGGATGTAGGGAGATGAGGGCCCTTATACACTGTTGGTAGGAATGTAAATTAGTGTAGCCATTATGGAAAACAGTACAGAGGCTCCTCAAAATATTAAAAATATACCTACCATATGATCCAGCATGCCACTACTGGGTTTTTATCCAAAGGAAATGAAATCAGATATGTCGAGAGATATCTGCACTCCCATGTTTATTGCAGCCCTATTCACAATAGCTAAGCTAAGGAACCAACCTAAGTGTCCATCAACAGGTGAATAAATAAAGAAAATGTGGTATACATGTACAATGAAATACTATTCAACCATAAAAAATGAAATCTTGCTATTTGCAGCAACATGGATAAACCTGGGGGATATATATTAAGTGAAATAAGCTAGGCACAGAAAGACAAACACCACATGATCTACTCATCTGTGGAATCTAAAAATCTCTCAGATGCAGAAAGTAGAACAGTGTTTACCAGAGGTTGGGGAGGGGAGAAGGGAGACAGGGGTGGGAAGGGATTTGTCAATGTTTACAAAATTGTAGTTAGATAGAAGGAATAAGTTCTGGTGTTCTATTGTAGAGTAGGGCAATTACAGTTAACAATATTATATTGTATATTGCAAAATAACTAGAAGAGAGGATATGGAATGTTCTCACAACAAAGAAATGATAAATGTTTGAGGTGATGGATATGCTAAATACCTTGATTTGATCATTATACAATGTACACATGTATGAAACATTACACTGTACCCCATAAATTTATGTGTCAGTTATTATGTGTTAATTAAAAATAAAATAAAACTATACATGTGTATATATGTGTGTGTGTGTGTGTATTGGGCCCATTTGTGGCAGACAGTGACATGTTTGTACAAGGGACTAGAATAAAAGTTTGATGATAGAATTCCAGCTGGAACCATGACTGCCAAAGCCAGCTAGGTAGACTGGTTCTCTATGTCCTTCCCTGATCAGGAAGTTGAGACATATTGATGCCCAGTATCTATTTTTATTGCTTTGATGACCCAGTGGCTGGCAAAAATAGTACATCATCACTACTACAAAGATATTGATATTCTTCCTTTAAAAACATCTAGAGTCTGACATATACTCTTAGAAATAGCTACTATCATCCTTTGAGCATGTCTAATTCAGAGGAATGATCAATAGTCTCTTTAAACTGAATTTTATGACTAAGATGTCAAACTGGAGATTTACACTTCCTTGAATGACAAGTGTTGTCATGTATGTTTTAAAACCACCCATCTTCCTATGGTCCCACCCAGTTCTAGGCCTTAACCCTCAACATGGATTAGTTCCAGGTTTCTCACTTCCTTTCCAGAACATAAAGACTGAAAAGTATCCAGCATCACATGCACTGGCTTGCACATCTATGTTTACAGATCTGAGAAGAGTACCCTCTTAGAGGGAAGTCCCTTCATTTCCCTACAGTTCTCCCAAGTTCCACTCCTTCTCTCCCACCCTCGTTCCCTCAGGTCTTCAATTTAGAAGAAAGAATTTTGACTCTTTCTTGGTATTGTCATAAAAGAAGCTGCCAATCCTTCATCATGCAGGATTCAAGAGCATGCTGTATAAACACAGAAGCTATGAAAAACAGACTTAGGAGGAAGGCTGCGGGTATTCCAAGTAATTTTCTCCTCTGGGATGTTAAGCCAGAGTGGTTTTATAAAATACAAAAGAAACAACAAAATGGACATGCTGGTGTACTCAGGAACAAAATAAATATTTTATTAAATTAATGCAATTATAAAAAAGTGACAATTAAATGTGGAGTTAGGTATCATCTCTGTCTATGTCATTTACAATGAAACACAAGACAAAGGGATAAAGTGCTTTAATATACCACCACAAGAAGGTTTAGGAATGGAGTGAGTAGCCTTGCTCAGCCAGAATCCTCGCTTATACCCCACACAAAGGATGGTGTCATACAAATTATTGTGCAAATGAACATGGACAGACAGATGACAGAAGGAGTTCTGTTGCAGATTCTGTTTCTTCAGCCTTGACCATGGCAAAACAAAGGCTTTCCTTTCCATTGATCCCAGTAAATGGCCAAGAGGGAGGGGAAACTCCTGGACCTCCTGAGAGGCATCTGATCCTCACAGCCTGTGAAAAGCAACACCTAGAGAGGTAGTGATGAGAGTCATGGAATTCAAAAGTTCAAGCACAGCTAATGAGCCTTTTCTGGCACAGATGAGGGCCTGGGGCAGCCAATAGTCAAGGTACACTGCTGGAATTTCCAGAATATCATGTAATTTTGCAAATCAGCATCAAAATGAAGTTTATACCCAAGAGAAAATGACACAAAAAGTTCCAGACATGACTCTGTCATAGAGAGTTAATAATAAAGTTGCCCTTTAGGTTCACTAGGTTGACTCAGTATACCCTAGAGAACCCATGGGTCTCCTTTGACCAAACATAAAACAAACCAAATCTGAATTCAGTCACAGAGCAAGTACTCAACAAATGCTGGTTGTCTAAACACAAATGTAGTACATATTTAGCAGGTCCCAAATAATACAAAAGATACTGAAAGATGACCTAGAAACAAAACAGACACAGTTCCTGACCACTTAGAACTTCAAAGTTGTTCAAGCTGCTACATAAGAAATAATATATTGAATAAAAATAGCAAACTGCACAGCAGATGCACAATGTTACCTTTCAGGAAAAAAATTTTAAAAATATGTACTTTTAACATACATTTCTCTATATAGACTGTCTTTAGAAGAATACATGTACAAAAGTCAACAGTGATGGCTTCTAGAAAGGGAACCTAGAAGGCTAGGAGGATGGAATGAAGATTTTTTTTTTTTTTTTTTTTGAGACAGAGTCTCGCTTTGTTGCCCAGGCTAGAGTGAGTGCCGTGGCGCCAGCCTAGCTCACAGCAACCTCAAACTCCTGGGCTCGAGCGATCCTGCTGCCTCAGCCTCCCAAGTAGCTGGGACTACAGGCATGCGCCACCATGCCCGGCTAATTTTTTTATATATATATCAGTTGGCCAATTAATTTCTTTCTATTTATAGTAGAGACGGGGTCTCGCTCTTGCTCAGGCTGGTTTTGAACTCCTGACCTTGAGCAATCCGCCCGCCTCGGCCTCCCAAGAGCTAGGATTACAGGCGTGAGCCACTGCGCCCGGCCAAGATTTTTTTTTTTTTAACTGTCTCCTATTGAGATTGTTTGAATTTTGAATCATGGAAGGGTATGGATTCAAAATTCAATAGCACTTAAATAGAGGAAAAAGAACTGTTAAACAATACCAGATACTATACACACAAGCATCAGATTGCATGGTGAAGGCAAATAAATCAGGGATCAATATAATGCTAGAGCAGGAATTCAAGAGTTATTTCCCACAATTCTTTAAATTATTGTCTTCTTCTTGTAAACTAAAATTGTTTTGATTATTAAAATGTTTAAGTGTATCTAACTGTCCCAGAACACATTGACCGGCCTACTCCTCCTCATGGCAATATTGCTAGACTTTCTCTTTCACACCATCATTCTCCTCCAAGAGGAGGAGATGCTTATGCTATGACAGGACACTAAATTGTGATACTAAATTTTTTTTACCAAGCTCCTTGTTAAACTCCGAGCTCCTTGAGGGCAGGTACTTTGTCTTGCTTACACCTGCAAACTCAACACCTGGCACAGTGATTGATATTGCAAGGGCACTTAATAAATGGCTTTTGAATAAATTAATTGCTTAAAGTAAAATTGCTGTAAATTATAGTCTAAAAGGACAATGGGTGACAGTTTGGAAATCTGAGGTCTGCTCTTTACTGATTTAGGGAAGTTTTTTAATCTCTCTGCTTCCTGGGCTGTAAAACGAGTATAAAAATAGTGGTTATCACAACAGGGTTGTTACAGGGATGAAATGAGGTTATGGGTTTAGGTTTCCACATAATTGTAAAGCTGATATTTAAAAGAAATAGATGCTGCAACAGACACTTGTGGTCTGAGAATTAGACTATTCAAGTCAAGTACCAAGGGGTTAAATAAAGTAAGATCCTATACAAACCAATGGTTTGTTCTCTGTGCTTCCTATTTGTACTCATGGTTACAGAGGGTACAAAGCACCTTCTAAATACTTTATAATTTACTGGACACAAGCAAGTCATTAAGCAACAAGCCTAGTTTGGTAACAAAATGTTAACAGCCACTACAATATATCTTCAAAGGAAATCATTCACCAACACCCTCACAACACAGGAAGATTCCATAGACTCAAAATAAATAGAAACAATAAATACTGTCGCAACACTGGGACTCTCAGTCATACAAAAGACACATCGAGGAATTGAGCGCAGCAAAGGGCATTTCTGCAGGAACTGACTGCCACATCAGGGATTCTCAGCTTGTTTTCCCAGGGTGAGCCACGGACGATTTGCTTGGAGGCTCCTCACTCAGAAGTGCCTGTTCTCCCTTGCCCATGCGCCGATGGGTCTCTCAGTCATTTTGAGGTACCGAGGTCTCTTTCCAGGCTCCCCTTTCTACTCCACCTTTCTTCGTTCTTCTCTTCTTTCCCCAGGTTCCCGTTTCCAGTGTTTGAGCCTTTTCAGTCCTACATCGTCTACCTTCCCACGGGCCCATTCCTTCCCCTGGTTGTGTGCAGCCCCGAGGAACTCCCAAACCACAGGCTGAGAATCCCTGCTTGAAGATCAGAAGTTTCGATGATGGCTTACGTCTCCTCATATTGTGTATCTGGAGAATGATAACAGTGCATTAATTTTATGACGAGGCGTCTGGGAAAAAAATAACAACAAAGTCCAAGGAGAAACATAACTCATATTTTCTAGATGATATAATAAATTTGAAATAAGAGAAAGAGCCAGATTGTACTTATGCTCAATAACCTTCACATGATAAAGGATGACTAGTTTGCCTGGGACTGTCCTAGTTTTAAAAGTGAAAGTCTGGCGTCCTGAGAAACCCCTCTGTCTCGAGCGAGCTGGCATGGTTGGTGCACTAATGACCCAAACAACACTTGCTAATTAGCTTTACCACACAAATGAATGCTATGAACCACACAGTGAAACTTGGCTGAGCTTGTGCAAGTTAATTAAGACTACTTTAAACTTGGGCTCATTGCACAGTTTGTTTTCTAACTACATTACTAAGAATTAAAAACCCTAATATAACTTTCATCTTAGTTCAGTAAGCTGGGTGAGGTTTTTCTGCTCTTTTATAAATGTAGACATTTGTAGTAAAATGGATTGAAGCTGATGGGTTAAGAGTAAATGTCCATGGTTAGGCTAGTGAGCTTCCATGCTTGATTGTGGTCATTAGTTGTGTGTTCTTGGGCACTTTACACTATCTTCTTGACCCTCTGTTTCTCTACTGTAAAATGAGAATAAATCTAGTATTTATCTCTTTGATTTTTTTTTTTTTTTTTTTTTTGGCTACAGGGTTGGTGGGTGGGGGGATTAAATGGGATACTGTGCATGAAGCAGTTAACACAGTGCCTGACATGTGGGATTTTTGAATGAATGAATGAATGATCCATCTACCTAAGTCAACCTGGTCCCCTGTTGCAGGGAGATGCTGGAATGCAGGGCAAGAGAAGCTGCTTCCTCCCCCTTCCTCTCTCCTCTCCCCACAGAACTGCTCCCTACTCCCTACTTTTGAGGGCTGTCCCTACCTCTCCTCAGCTGTGGGAAGAGTTCTAACATTAGAGTTGTGAGGCAAATAGCAGCCCCAGTCCCTACCACCAGCATTCTTTAAAAGGTGGGGAGGAGTTTTCCTTTTTATTGCTTTGGCTTTTGTTTCCTTCTTTTTTTCAACTTCCCAATCCCTTCTGATATTCTTACCATTTTGCTGCTTTGAGTTTGCATCTCGGATGCCACATCTTTCCACATCCATTATTCTCACTTGAGAAAAAGAAATCATTTTTATTTTCATATAGCATAACCGTACATCCCATACAGTGACTCAAGCTTACATCACGTGTTCTTATAAAACATTTTTAATGCCTTAGGAAGTCTGGTAGACTTCCTTATTGCACAGGTTCCAACCCATGAGGATAATTATTAATAATTCAACAGTTTAGGGCACCTTTTTTGGTTTTTTGTTCCTAGATCTTCTTGAGGAGTATATACTTTTATTTTCCAACTTTGTTTCAGAGGTGGACCATATTCTGAGGTCCTTTATTATCTGTTGGCTTTCAAGGTATTCCTAATGCCAACTAATTTTTTTTTCCAGGGAAATATTCAGAATGCAAGTTGACAACATTCATTTCCTCGGGCAACTCAATTCCATCTCAGGATCTTACTGTCATTGAAACCTGATCCTTATATTAATATTTTGCCGAACTAAGTTCTTTTAAGGACAACTCTATAGGCAGGCCATCCGTGGTATACTTCTGAAACTACTGGGGGAAATGTTCACCTTGAATCATCTTAAATGGGAGGAAATTATTTGAATATATTCATTTTCCTGGATTTTAATTGTTCCCATGGGTAAATTGAGAAATAAACACATGCAAATTATTTCAAAATCTGCATAACATCCTCCACAGGAAATCCGACAGAATACTGTATGATAAAAATACCACAGTTCTACAGAAGGAACTGTTCCTATTACTTGAGGCACTCACAAACCAGCTCAGTAGAATAGAGCAACTAAAGCAAGACTAAAATGCAACTGAAACTGACAGGCATTTTAGCTTTCTCTTCTGTAAGTGTGATTATTTGCATGATGGAAGGAAATCGTATGATGAGTCTTCTTCAACCTCCATCTCCACTCAGTCTCCCACCCCTCACTTCTGTGCACCTGATTTTCACCCAGCAATTCCACTCAACTTTCCTATAATTGCTATGGAACAGTGGGACGCCTTTGTGCCAACTTGCAAAGGTAAGTCAGGTTTCCTTGAATCCATGATCCAACTCTCACCCCCCAGTAAATACTACTACAAGTGTTCATTGCTGCCCTCCAATGTAGGTGATGCTGAAAAACAGTAAAATTAGCAGGACCAAAGGAACAGGTGGCCCACGATGAACACTGTTGGCACGGCTAAAACCCACTTTGCATAATTGAAACTTGGCCTTGGGAGGAAAGGCTAACAGGAGAGTAGCATATTATAAATCAGTGTTTCCCAGCAGGGGTACCGAGAGCAGTTTGGGTAGGACAGTCCCCTGGCACTTGGGACTGTCCTGCAGATTGCAGAATATTTAGCATCCCTAGCCCTGCCTACTAAGTGCCACTGTGACAACAACAACGCCACCTTACACTTCCCTTCGTCCCCAGTGGAGACCATTGCAATAAAGGAAATACCTTGTTTTCTTAAACAGAAGAGGACTGTCAGTGGTACACCAAGGAAGAACACAACAGCTACCAGAATCATCAAGTGAGTCCTCTCATCTATAGGTACTGCAGGTGGTTCTGAAAAACAAAAAGAAAGTGACTAAAGATAAAATTTTGATGGGAAGAGGTCAGGGGAATAATCATCCTTAAAATTTAATTTAGTTTAGCTTTAGGTTAATTTTCTTAAATACCAAAGTTCCTGGCCAGTGAGTGGCTAGAATAGTGAGATACCTCTGATAAGAAAATGGGGGCAGCATGGAGAAATGGAAGAAGCCCAGGCTTTGGACAGATGGGCCTGGGGTTAAATTCTGCTGCCTGCCATTGACCAGTTTTGAGATCTTGGGCAAGTCCTTTGACCAGCCTACAAAATGGAAATGCTAATAAATTTCTTGTGAGGCTAATTTTTGTAAAGTGCTTATTAGTGTGGGACCACAGGGAATGGCTGCTCAATATGAAATGAGGGCTTTCCTCTTGCATTCTTTAATACAGAAGCTAGCAGCTCACTGCAGGTAGCAAAGGTGGCCCAGAGTGGAATATGGAAGGCCAACTGGCACTGCCAAGGAGCTCCTACCTCCCCAAATCTGAGGTTATCATTGGGAACCAGTGCTTCTTCTCTTATCTTTCCCTGAAGTTTGAACACCTCTGGACATCTAGTTATTGGTGCCTCTCACTAGTCTCGTTGTCTATGGTCTGACACAGGAGGAAAAGGGGTCCTGTGGCACATGGATGCTCAGACTGTTGAATCTCACCTCTCACCATTAGTCAGTTCCCGCTTGGCTCAACTGGCAACTGAGACCCACGATCCCTAACTACCTAGTTCAAGCTTTAAAGCCACAATGACAGCCAGCATTTGATTCGTATTAACAGCTCACAGTTCCCAAAGCCTGTTCATATATATCATATATGAGTCTCAACACGATTTTATGAGTTAGGCATACCAGGTACTAAAAAAAAAACAACCCAAGTTACAGATGAGGACACAGACTCAGAGCAGTCAAGTGAGTTACTCTAAGATGCCCCACAAATTAGTTGTCATAACACAGCTTTTAAATGGCAGGAATCCACTAAAACAGCTCTTAGTGAAGGACAGTTCAGGACCTGACATCTCATACCCCAGTCAAGGCATCTCCTTAATTGTCTAATTTTTGTTTTTTCTCTTTTTGTTTGCAAGACCATCCTGGCTTGTCTTTTCCTATTCGTTGACTTTTCTAGCCAGTTATTTCAGTTATTTTCTCTGCAGTATCTGGAGTTTTCCCATCAACATCTATTGGGGGAGGGAGCAGTGAGAAGTGCTTCTCAGGAAGGACATCTCTGGGTTTGTGTTAAATGCGATGTTCACGCACCTTGCTTTCTCTAAAGGTCTCTCATCAGACTCTGTTTCCCACCCCACCTACTTCTGTGCAGTAGTGAGATTAAAATAAATAAATAAATGACTCTGTGCATGCAAGAGTTTCAAACCATTTTCATATACTATTGCTGATTTTATCCCTACAATAACTTTGTAGGTTATAAAACCCTACAGGGAGAGCGAAGCACAAAGAGGTCTAATGATTTGCCCAGAGAAACACAGCCTCATGTCCTAGGCACCAAGCAGACTGTCCTGAGTTAAAATATCATAGACCACCTTGGGAGAAGTACACAGGGAGAAAAAGGATCTATCCTGTTTGGAATAAGATAGCAAAGTACATTCCGTTTGTTTCCTGCCGCAGAAACTCTAGAAAGAGGGAGAAGCTCTGATGTGCTAGGATTTGGATTCCTGAAACGTGGCCTAAATTGAGTATACTTCTCAGGTATTCCCCCAGGTTCCCCAGCTACAAGAGCATTTCCTACGTAGAATGGGGTTGTCTCTTTTCTTATCTCTTTGCTGGAGAATGTGAACTGTATCTCATTCTTCCACGTGCACACAATGCCTAATATAATGCCTGGCGCACAGGGCATATTCAATAACTATTTGGTGAATGTTTATTAAGTAACAGCGTAACCTGGATGAATGGAGGTGAGGAAGCAGAATGCATTTTGTAAATATAGTGTTATTCATTCATTCATTCATTCATTCAACAAATACTGAACGACTAGAATGAGCTGGCATCATGCCAGGTGCTAAGGGACAGCATTAAGCACATTTTGATTGACACATTCAGAATATTACCTGGGATGACCAACTCAGCTGTATTGTTTTCCTCGAGATTTAATCTCCGAAAAGTGCAGAAGAAAATCTCGTTAGCTGTTGTGTTGACTCTCAATGTGCTGGTCACATTGAAAAGCTGCTCCTCCCTCTTGGAATTGGTGATTGTGGTCCTGCCACTCAGGACTCGATGGTCACTGCTTGTCCAGGTGACTTCAGCCTTGGGGTAACCCTCAGCCTGACATGTTAGTTCGTGTTCAGAGGTGGCTGGGTCCATGGAAATTCTTTGGTTGATTTTGTGATACGGGGCTAGATCATAAGCAAAGAGAAGTCAGGGCTTTTGCTTAGCACAGAACTAGACATGTGGGTTAGTGTGGTCCACATTAGAATAAGGGTCAATGCAGGCTGGTTCTCAGAGAAATAAGCTTAATGTTCAGCTGCCTCAGCAGTTGGGAACCTCTGCTAGTTCTGCTGCAACTCAGTTCAAAGTCGGGTCAAGTTTGGGCTTAAAGGAATGACTATCTTGCTGTAAGAATCATGCCGGTATATTTATTGGGCTTAAAGTACATATAAAGATTAATTTAAAGAAAATTGTTATCTTTAAACCAGTAGTCTTTTATATAAAATATGTCTCTCCACTTATTTGAGCCTTCATATGTTTCTCAGCAAGTGCCATAGTTTTTACATGGGGCCCATTTCTTCGTAAATTTATTCCTGGATATTTTCTTTTTGTTATAGTAAAGCTGTCTTCATAAACATAAACCCCTTTGGTTGGCTGGCAAGTACTGTTTTCTTAGACTTTGTTTCATAAATAGAAAATCTGATTTTGATTTGTCATTTACTTTTCTGACTTTAAGTCAATGATCAGAAATTAGATATGAAATTTTATTTGTAAAAATTGACTCATGTTCCTGGTGATACTTTTTAAAGTTTAAATGTATTTTTTCTTTTAGAATAGTTCTAGATACAGAAAAGTTGCAAAGATAGTACAGAGTTACTGTATACTCCATATCTAGTTTCCCCTATTGTGTTAACATCTTATATTACCATGGTACAGTTGTCATAACTAAGGAACCAATATTAGTACATAGTTATTAACTAAACTCCATAATTTATTCCATACATCACCAGTTTATCCCTAATGTTCTTTTTTATTTTCTGGATTCCATCTAGGATACTACATTATGATACTTATTTAAAAAAAATTTTTTTTTTTGAGACAGAGTCTCACTCTGTTGCTCCGGCTAGAGTGCCATGGCGTCAGCCTAGCTCACAGCAACCTCAAACTCCTGGGCTTGAGTGATCCTTCTGCCTCAGCCTCCCGAGTAGCTGGGACTACAGGCATGCGCCACCATGCCTGGCTAATTTTTTCTATATATTTTTAGTTGGCCAATTAATTTCTTTCTATTTTTAGTGGAAACAGGGTCTTGCTCATGCTCAGGCTGGTTTCAAACTCCTGACCTTGAGCAATCCTCCCAGAGTGCTAGGATTACAGGCGTGAGCCACCATGCCCGGCCCTTTAAAATTTTTTAATGCTGGCTATTTTAACAAATCATTTAAGTAATTATTATACTCAAGAAAGAAAGTTTGATTAAATTTTAGATAATTGGACCCTTTTATAGGATTAAGATACCCAGTTTGCCGACTATTCTACTATATTATTTACTGCATTATATAGCATAAGGTCTTTATTTATGTTTATTCATTACAAGTATGTTAACATGTTATTTTGTTGGTATAATCTTTATTTTACTCCTAATACTTTAGAGTAACCACTAATGGTTCAGAGCCTTAACTCTCCATTCCTTTACCAAATATATAACAATAGATTAGTAATATGATTTATTCACAGAAATTTAACACAAAACAGCCAGGATCAAACAAAACTGAAATAAATAATGATATGATATTTTGGTACTCTTAAATTAATGAAACCACCATCAATGGAAACATTGGATATCAACATAATTATGATTTCAAAACACAGAAATAATATTATGAATACTAGAGCCCTCAATCTTGCATCTGTTATGTTTAAGAATTATTTTTAAATGAATCTACTGATTCTACTTCATGGAATAAACATTTCATTAAGTAATATTATCATAATGGGGTGTAGTTCACTTGGCACATAGCTTGATTTCTGGGTGATTAAAATTTCAAGCCTAAAATCACTGTTAATGGTAAAATATTAAGGGTAAAATATTTGCTTATTTACCCGCATATTATCATTTCTAATGGAAGAAGAGTAAAGGAGAATGCTGTAACATATTGAGAAATACGTATAAATGTGGAATAGCTCTGGGTCCAATGAATGAATGGATTCATTCCAGAAGAATTGATTAAGTATCTACTACATTAATCTCTAAAGTGGAGCACATATATGGAGTATAGGAAAAAATATTAAAACTTTCACATATGTGTTTTTATCGTAAAAATTAAGAAATAATTTGGGCCTAATAAGCTTTAGTGATTCACACTACGTCATACTTTGTGTGCCACATAAGAGTCTTACAGAAAGAAGAAGAGTTTTACAACATTGAAGGGAGGACAGTGACTCACTTTGGGGTTATGATGGATTTTTAAATTCTCTCATTTAATTTTGACTAAACTTACCCTCTTATAACATGAACAACTAATTAGAACATTTCCCTCAAAGAAACTGAGGATTGAAGATAACACTAATAATTCAAGCACAAACCAAAAAGAAATGACAGAATTTGCATTTTTTATCAGCCTCTTACGAGGTTAAAAACAACAAGTACTTAATCGGACCTGACAAAGTGTTGGTTAAAAAAACCTCACAACTGGCTGGGCATGTTGGCGTAGGCCTATAATCCTAGAACTCTGGGAGGCTGAGGAGGGAGGATCGCTTGAGGTCAGGAGTTTGAGACCAGCCTGAGCAAGAGTGAAACCCTGTGTCTACTAAAAAAAAGAAAAATTAGCCAGGCGTCATGGCATGCACCTGTAGTCAGCCTCAGCTACTCGGAAGGCTGAGGCAGGAGGATGGCTTGAGCCCAAGAGTTTGAGGTTGCAATGGGCTATGATGATGCACTGCATTCTACCTGGGGTGACAGAGTGAGACTCTGTCTCAAAAATAAATAAGAAAAATAAACCCCAAGATTATCGAGACCACCTACCTTTGTTAATAAGGAATTCCACCCTAAGGTATATTATGCCTTGACATATTAGATAATGATAGTGGACCATGACAATTAGTAAGACATTGAAAATATTGTTTATTAAATTTTTATTTCATCCTCTTAAAATGTCTATTTTTGTACATTTTTAAAATGTACAATATATTAGGTTGAACAAGATGAAATTGGTGATATTCAACCTCTCCTGACTTTCAAAATGATGATTCTTTATGATATAATCTATATATCAGGAGAAAATAAATTCTTCATACTTATACACGCACATGTGCATGAACACACACACTAGTTTAAAATGCTTTACAGATAGGGTGGGTAATGAAAAATTTTTGCAGATCCTGGTTTACTAAATCTAGAACACTATGCTAATGTTGGTCAATCAAGACCAAGAAAAGCTCATGATAGTTGTTTTTCTTTTTTTTTTTTGTAGAGATAGGGTCTTGTTCTGTTGCTTGGAGTGCATTAGTATGATCATAGCTCACTGCAGCCTATATATTGTCTTGAAGTCAATATACAACTTGATACACATTCCAGAGGTACAAATACAGGCAGTAAAACATGGTTATTAAGGACACGGACTTCAGAGCTAGACTGCTTGGATTTAGAACCTGGCTTCACCACTCACTAGCTGGGTGAACTTGGGCAAGTAACTTAATTTCTTTGGACATCAGTTTCCTCACCCTTAAAATGGTTAGAATAACACCACATATTATTGAATCAAAGATTCCATCTATTGAAAGACACACTCAGATGTCAGAGACAGTAAGATGTGAAAAACATTTGCCTTAGACAGGATGAAGCACCTACCCCATAGAGTCATTCTGAGGATTACAAGAACTAATATAGGCAGAGTGCTTCCTACAGGGCCTAACACAGGATGGTGCTACATAAGTGTAGTGGTACTAGAGCTGCTCCTTCTCCTCCTCTTTTGACTACTACTGCTTAAGTGTAATCTTGTGGCATTCTTTAGAAAGTACTGACAGTTTCTGATGAACAGTCTTGGAAATAAATTTTCACATATCCAAACCTGTTTATGTTTCCAAAATCTGAGGCTAATCCTATTTGAGGGAATCATTCATTCACTCATCCATTCAAGAAATATTTTTTGTGTGCTCTTGTCACACTACTACTGTAATGTATGTCAAGCCCTAGGGATGCAACAATGAATAAAACAGACCCAAATCCCTGCCCTTATAGAATTTATATTCTAGAAGGAAATAGACAATAAACAAAATAGATAGGTACAGCTATATAATATGCTATGCAGACTTCTGATTTCAAGATTCTTCTTTCTTAAGCACCAAAGCAGGCAAGAGAAGCTTCATCTTTCTCTGCTGCACCTCTTTTACTAAAAGGATCTGTTCTGCAAAATTAGGATTCAGTCCAAAGGCCACACTTAAGGACCTAGAAGGCCACATTTCTTCTTAAGGCCACGGTTCCCCACCCCTTTCAGCTATACAATATCTTAGGGGAAAATGCTATAGAGAATACTTAAATAGGGCTGGGGAGTTTGAGGGGAGAGATGGGATTGGGATGGAACGATAGCAGTTAATCTTTGGTCCATAGGCTCAAAAGAGCTTTATCAGGATAACTATGCAACCTTTTGTTCTTTCAGCTGCCTAACTCCATTTAAGATCCTGAAAGTATAAATGGCCATTTCATTTTCCCTACTATTATATTAGGTTCACTGATCAGGTAAAAACATTTTTCTTTGAAAATCGGATGCCTGCCAGTCTGGCATTTAAACTAATAAACATGAAAGGTGCAATAACACCCAAAGTAATAATGATAATTGAGTTAATCCAAAACAAAACTCAAATTTCAGTTTCAAAATGCTTCACCCTTAAAGTCCCATGGTGGGTAAACTCCCTGGGGAGAAGCTGGGTTACCACACATTTTGCAGTGATGGGAAGAAAAACTCTTACTGTGAAATCATTTGCATATGGAGGTGACTCAGGAGTTCTACTTCCTTAAGTTGTAAAGCTCCAATAAGCCAGGCACCATGTCTCCATTGGTGACAATGCCTCAGTGCAACTGAAGCATTGGTGGCTGTCTTGTTCTTAGTGCAGAAGATCTAGCCTCTTGGGATAGCTCAACTCAACTCCCAAGACCACACTATGCAAATGCCAACAAGACAGACTGGGACTAGGATGACAATCAGATCCTTAAACCTGGTTGGTCATCTGCTTTGCTTCATCAAAGATTCCCTCATTGGAAAAACCTCATCAGTGCCAGAAGTTTTCCTATTGTGTTGAATGACAGCAAAGGAAACTGCAGATCCCTAAGGGATATTATAGAGCCAAGATGACCTGAAAGAAACACTTCCCTGGTATAGGGACAGCTGTCCCCACCCTGCATACTCCCTACAGGCTGATGAGTGACCTTCTCTAGAAGCAGAAACTTGCATTCCATGCTTCTTTCTTCCTGATTGCCAGGAATATATTCTTCCCCTCCATTCCAGACCTAAAAAATGCTAGCTGTTGATGAGGCTAGGGCTTGATAATTTCTTGAATGCCTTCAAACACAGTAGATGCCTGATATTTGCTGATGGACTAAAGAAAAGTTGAAAATGTAAATCACTACACTCCTAACTTTCTTTCATGAGTGTCATGAATAGAGAAGCATATGGTAAACAATACAGTGAAAATTAAATCTACTTCACAAGTGACATTTTCTTGACAACAGTAGCATTAATTGAGCCAGAATCAAAGACTAATAATGTATGCAATCTTTGTGAAAAAGATAAGAAAGGAACAACCTAATTGTTGAATTTCAAAAACTAAGCATTGTTATAATATTTGTCATACTTGTATACCATTTTTGACAATAACACAGTATGATAATAACAACTGTAATAAAATGTTACTTCAACTTCAAAAAAAATAAAAAAGACTAATAATATACCATAAAATGGATGCATGTCTTCTAATCCCTATATGATTTTGGTTTTGAGTTTATAATTGTAAGTGATCCTGTATGATAAATGTAAACTTTTTCTATTTTTATTATTGACCTTCAGATTGATGGTTGTTAGCCCAGAAATGGAAAGACCAAGGAGAGATGATTTACTTCTACTCAAATATTAAAAGGTCACTATGAAAACCAGAGAAGCAGGCAAATAATCTCAAAACTATGACTAGAGAGATCAGATTTCAGCTTAATATCAGGGAGTAATTTCAACAGGCTATGGAAGGGGCGTCCAAATGACAGGGATGCCACTGTTGTAAGGATACGAGCAGAAGAGCCTTTGGGGGATTTTTGCTCTTTGTGGGAGTTTGGATTAGCTGCTCATGCCTGGCGTCCTTTCAGCTCTCAATCCTATGAAATTCAATAGTGAAAGTAGAGGTGGCCAGTTAAGGTGTTTTCCTTTACTTAGCTAGGGCCAACCCCAAACTTTGAAATCAAGTAACCTAGTGACATATTTGTGGGTCAGTACCCAGGAATTAACACTCACAGTTCCTCTTCAATTATCCAAGATAACACTGGTATACATTTTCAAGATGAATGTATGCCTATTGAGCATAGCATACCGTCTCTGAGGAAGGATGACTCCTTTATACTTACTAAGATTATTTTTCTTTCCATAGATTGACTTAAAGGCTTTTTGAATGTGAACCTTACAATGGGGTTTGTTCTTAATATACTTATAGGCTCAAAGGAAGGAAAACAGACCCAATAAAATAAAAAAAAAATAGCGGTTCAATATAGAAATTCTGGAGGGACACACAAATAATGGTTACTATCTTTTCATTGCTATGGAAGATGGTGGTAAAGGGAGGAGGGGCACTTTTGCAATTCATTTTATTCCCTTCCATAGTATCTGAATTATTTGCAAGTACATGTGTTACTTTTATAATAATAAAAAGGTAAAGACTAGGATTTTTTTTGAAAACTGAACATACTATAGAACATGGCTCTGTGTTGTTTGGTTCCAGATCTCCAGTGACTGTCAGGATAGGAGGTGCTCCAGAGGTGCTCAGTGTGTGAATGAGTGAATCAATGGATTGTGCTGTTCTGTTTGAAAGTAAATCTGGACTTTCAAGAATGAAAAGTTCTCAATACTCGGGATATATTTTTTAATAAAGGTCGGGCATTTTTATCTATAATATATTCTTACCATTGACTTTCAAAGTAATCCGCTTGTAGTCCGCACCCCCGTAGCTGATCATGCAGCGGTAAACCCCTGCGTCCCGCAGTTTCACGTCTGTGATCTCAAGCGCCGCACTTCCCAGGAAGAACTGGTCCTTCAGTAGCCGGGCCCTGCCACGGTAGCTACTGTCCTGAACCTTCAGGTCTTCCTCGCCACGAACAAATTGAATAATATTCTTATTGTCCATTTCCCAGTAGACAACTAATGACATCAGGTCTAATTGTTTTTCCACTGGGAATCTGCATTCGATGGTCACATTGCTGCCATACTCCACCACATACAGGTCCTTGGGAACTGTGACCGTAAATGCTGAAAAGAAAGATGACCAATCTTTAGAAGAGGGAAAATTCCTCAAAACATTTACAAAATCAGTACAGGGTTTACGATAACTTTATCTGGTTAGTTACATGACAATTGTATTTAATGACTTATTTCCTTAAAATACATCTTTTATCCAGTGGGTTTGAAACATGTTTTCAGATGCTATATCTCGTTCCTGAGTTGGAATAATAAAAATTAGCTAAACAAGTTGCCCCACAATTCATAAGCATATATTACTGTGGAAATACTATACTGTGATGGAGTACTTATAACCAAGGAGGCTTGGTTTCAAGAAGACAACTCCAGAATGCCCTTGGACTAGACACCTATTTGCCTTCTACATAGAGTGAACAGTAGATTTGAGTAGTCATCTCTTCTTATTTCTCAACACTTTTGATCAATTCTCTTGCCAGAGGTCCATTGGTATGGAGTTTAGGCCTGAGGATGATCCTAATACTGTGACACCCTGACACTTTCTATGTATACTAAAATTCTTCCTTAGAATAACCTCAACAGAAAAAGCAGGTCACAGAACAACCTAGATTGAATAATCCAGGCCTTATTTAAAACAAACAAATAAAAGTATACATATAAGCCATTTCCTCAGATATATTCAATAGTTATCCCTGGGAAATGGGTAATGAGTTAATTTTGTTTCTTTTGGTTTTTCTATATTCTCTTTGTCTTTATACAACAACACGGGTGACTTGTTTATGAAATACAGAAGGAAAAATAGCATGTTCTCTCTATAAGAAAATCATCTCCATTTAAAATTATTATTTTAGTTTGTAACTTCATGGTTAAAATATTTAAAATATAGAACTTAATGAAAGGATTTGGTGTCTTACCGTTCAGTAAATGCCAGTAGGTTGTGAATGTAAAGACGTGAAATATCCTCATCTTTCTGGAATGATCTAATTATAAAAAACACACACAAAAAAGACTGCTTTACTCAGTGATTAAACGCACAATATGACAGTATGGAACTTGGAAGTTCTAAGTGAAATAGTCTTCTAATAACCAGCTATGACTGACTTGTAAATGTGGAAATGCAGTGAGGAATTTGGAAAATCAATACCTTTATTTAATAGCCCAGAGTCATATAAAGCCAAGTGAAAAAAAGTTACTAAGATGTGAAAAATTTAAATTTAGTGACAGGCCCTGCAAAAACTTGTAATATACACTCAAAAGAAGCCAAGAAGAAAATATTGCACCAAAATCCTCTCACCTATTTCATGTTTTCTCTGCATTGTAACATATCTAGAAATCCAAACCCACCCTTGTCAAAATTTCAAAGCAAGGAGAATCTGACCTCCACTTCTCCAACCTTTCAATGCATCTTTCTCCCTACAGATAAATATTTTCATCCTACTCTTTAACTATTCAAGTCTCTACTTCACAATCCCAACCATGCCAGCTCTCCTCCAGGTGCCATTCTTCAAAATCTCCTCTTCTTGGATTTGGCCAATGCATACAAAGCTATGAGTGACTCACTGCCATTCTTCCAGGGGTATTTGCCTACATTCTATTCTTCGTTTTGTCATCCTGCTTGAAATTTGACTAATTCTTTCATTCAGCAAACATTGATTGAGCATCTCTCCCATGCCAGGCACTATTGTAGGCCTGGGAATACAGAAGTGAGCAGGAAAGAAAAGTCACTCTTCTCTTGGTGCTTATATTCAAGTAGGTGAGTAAAAGATTTGTACTTATTTCAGCCAATCTAGTTATTAACATATTTTCTCTCTCTTGTGTTATACATATATTTACACACTTTGATGGAGAAGTCAGTTTTCTCTCTTAGTGTCTCTCCAACCTCTATCTATATACACACACAAACTCACAAATGATCAATTAATCAATGCTACACATATATAAGACAGACGATGGTCCTAATATATAATGGGCTTCTAAAAGTCAATAAGAAAACTACACATCACCGAAAAGGAAAATAAGCAAAAGGTTCTAACATACAACTGACATGCAAACACAGGAAAGGATGCTCAATATCACCAATAAAAATGTATGTATTTAAGATATGAGATACCATTTTCCACTTATTAGCTTGACCAAAATTATAAAAATTCTTAATATTTAGTGTTTTCAAGGATGAGGGCAAATAGGCCTTCTTGCTAAGGGTAGGAATGTGAAGTTGTATAACTTCTTTGGAGAGCTATTTGATAATCTCTATCAAAATTTTAAATGTATATGTCATAGGACCTTTCACTCTCTCTCCTAGAAATCTATGCTGAAAAACAAAAACAAAACCACATACATATAACTATATGTATAAAGGGATGGAATTGCTAATAATAGCCCCAAACTGAGAATACCCTAAATGGTCTAAATGGTTAAATAAATTTTGGTATATTCATACAATATAATACTATTAAGGACAGAATTTAGTACATATATATGTATTGATTTTGCAAAGATGTAGAAAGTAAGTTTCAAAACAGTATATGTAGCAGAAATCCATTTTTATTAAAAATAGAAGAAAAATGTGTGTGTGTGGATGTGTGTGTCTTTAAACTCAGAAAATGTCCAAGATGCTGACAATGATTATATTTACTTTTAGGAGTTAAATTAGAAGGAAGATAGGCAGGTTTTTACCCCTTTATAGTTTTAAAAGGCAGAAAAGATAGAAAAAAAACCAGAAGAGATTATGAATTGGTTTTTTTGGTGTTTTAACGTGTTTAAATTTTCAAATGAATGAATGTTTTACTTTTATTATTAGAAAAAAATGAAAAGAAGATTTAATGAATCATTTTACCTTGCCAAGCTGCAGAGTGTTTGGCAGACCAAGTGGTATTATGTAAAGAAACCCTAGAATGGAGTCGAAACATCTGAATTGAGATGGAATAATGACATTCAGTTGTTTTTATTTTTTTCTTTATTATAAAAATAATATAGCCACATTATAGAAAACAAGACAAAAAAGAAAAAAAGGAAAAATCACCTATTATTTCATCACTCTCAACCAGGGAACATTTGGTGATACCTGGAAACATTTTTGGTTGATGGGGGAGGGTGCTCCTGACTCCAGGGGTAGAGACCAGAGATGCTGCCAAACATCCCACAATGCACAGGGCAGCCCCCCACAGCAAAGACATATCTAGCTTAAAATGCCAATAATACCAAGGTTGAGAAACTCTGTCACCACCGTGAGCATTTCTGTATAGACTTTTCTTTCAGTCTTTTTCCCTGTGAATCTTTTAAAAAGCATTTATCGGGAGTCCGGTGGGTGGGAGGGGGGAGGAGGGGATGGGTATATACAAACATAATGAGTGAGATGTGCAACATTTGGGGGATGGTCACGCTTGAAGCTCTGACTCTAAGGGGGAGGGGGGACATGGGCAATATACGTATCCTTAACATTTGTACCCCCATAATATGCTGAAATAAAAAAAAAATTTTTAAAAAGTAATTATTACCTTATCTAACATTTAATGCCCATTTATTTCATTTAAAATTATATATTCCCCATTTTACTGTATGATATTCATAAGCATCTTACTTGGTGATCCCATAATATTTAATTCCTCTATTATCATGTATCAAATCATTGCCACTTTTTAAAATATCATAAGAATTTGTGTATTCAGCAAATATTTTTTGAGTGCTTTCTGTATGCCAGGCCCTAGGCTAGGCTCTAAGGATAGATTTTCCCCAAAAGAACTGCTGATCAAGTGGAAAGAAGATTTTCCTGGTTCTTGACACATGCTGATAATTATACCATCACACTGTATTTCCACCCAGCACTCAGTGTTATTTTTTTGAGACAGGATCTTGCTATGTTGCTAGGGCTAGAATGCCATGGTATCAGCCTAGCTCACAGCAACCTCAAACTCCTGGGCTCATGTGCTCCTCCTGCCTCAGCCTCCCAAGTAGCTGGGACTACAGGTGCATGCCACCATCTCTATTTTTAGTAGAAATGGGTCTTGCTCTTGCCCAGGCTGGTCTCGAACTGCTGACCTCAAGCAATCCTGCCTCGGTCTCCCAGAGTGCTAGGATTATAGGCGTGAGCTACCATGCCCAGCCCAGTACTGAGTATTGTTTAAAAAAAATTTTTTTTTTGCTAATTTGATTATTGAAAAGTACAATTTGAATTTTTCATGGGTTTGTTTATTGTTTAGTTCTTTTGTAAATTATCTAATTTTTTGGTCTGTTTATGCTACTGGTTATTTATTTATCTGTATGAAACTTTCATGTTAAAAAGACATATACAAAAAGGATAAAATAAAATGAGTCATGATCATCTTGCTAGGGTTAGGTGCATAATTCTTATTTCTCTCTTTTCCATCAACCCTGTACACGGGGAAGAGAGATGGCCTCCAGGCCTGTGAGGACACAAAGGTGGTTAAAATGGTACTATAGCAGCTATCTAACTGTCCTTTCCTTGGGCCAGAGTTGATTATACCACGATTACAAAATACTAATGTGATACTATAAACACAAATACACTTATTGGGCAGAAAGAAACTTGAGATACTTTAAACTCCAATCAAACATTCTTTAATAAAACAGAGAGACATTAAGTCCACTCCTGCATTACAGCAAATTTTGCCAATGTTTATAGCATACACTGGTGGAGTTCTTATCCTTTAATGAATTTAGCTGAAAATTTTAGGGGTAATAAAGGCTTATCAGAAGGTGATGGATTAGATCCAATATTTTTCTAATTTCTCACCCTACCCTCTCCTCCGAAGCTCTATTCCCTTGGAGTGCAGCTATCATAAGTGGGGGAAGAAAAGGAGGAATACAGAGACCATGTCGGCTGATGTCGAAAGCCATCAGGGCAGTTGGTCTAAGAGAAGAATGCTGACATCTTCTTCAGGTAAGAAATTATGGCCCTATGTGAATTCCCAGACAAAATGAAGACATCCAAAGACCAGTGAAATGTGAACTGGGGAAGAAGTGATGGCTCATTCAGGACGGGGAAGTGGGTTTGTCCCCGGGGGAAGACCAGTATAACACTATGGAACTGATACTACTTCTCTATCTTCCAAGGGTAGGACGGGTAAGAGGAAGAGACCCCTGGAAAATATTCAAGCTTCCTTTCTCAAAAGTAGGAGCAAGGACTTAGAGAGGTCAGCTATTAAACGTCTGCTAAATGATCAAACTCTATTCAACTCTACTCAACCCTGTACCCAAACTCCTTCCCCTCAGTCAGTCTGAGACACCCTCCCACATTTTCCACATGAGGTTTCAATTCCCCACAGTATTTCTGTGTCTTTCTTGAAGATCACACTCTAACTGCTGTCACAGAGCCTCTGCCTCTTCTCTTCTATTGAGAAAGGCTAATCTTTTCTTCAGCGTAATCATAGTTCTCCTTAAATACCATCGGTGACTGGCATTGTCAGCTGGTACATTGTTTCTGGAAGGCAATTTAGGTTTTCATCAAAAGGGCTTTAAAATATTCAGACACTTTGACTAAGTAGTAACACTTCTAAGAGTATATCTGGGCCGGGTGCGATGGCTCACGCCTGTAATCCTAGCACTCTGGGAGGCCAAGGCAGGTGGATCGCTTAAGGTCAGGAGTTCGAAACCAGCCTGAGCCAGACCCCGTCTCTACTAAAAATCGAAAGAAACTAATTGACCAAACTAAAAATATATATACAAACAATTAGCCAGGCATGGTGACACATGCCTGTAGTCCCAGCTACTCAGGAGGCTGAGGCAGTAGGATCCCTTGAGCCCAGGAGACTGAGGGTTGCTGTGAGCTAGGCTGACGCTACGGCACTCACTCTAGCCTGAGCAACAAAGTGAGACTCTGTCTCCAAAAAAAAAAAAAAAGAGTATATCTGAAGAAAATAATCAGCAATGTCCCAGAGATTTCTATGCAATGATGACCAGCAAATGGCAAAGACAGTGATGATTGTAAATAACCTTTATGTCCAGCAATGGAAGATTTATTTTGTTTGGTTTCCCAACTTGATGGAACGCAGCAATAAAAACATATTTTTAGAAGGCTATTTAATTTGTAGAAAAGCATCCACAATATATTTTTTTCAGATTGAAAAAGACAAGATAGAACAATGGTACTTTTACTCCCTGTGTTATAAGACAAACACACACTAAACTTTGACATAAGCCAAGGTCAACGTGTCTAAGAAACATTTTAACATTCTTAGGTTCCTCCCTGCTTTTTCAGGAATCCCTTAGGTCTTCGGAGCAGATAGGGCAAAGAATTTAGGTTCAGGAGTCCTGCATCTTAGGGCAGCAAGGGAGGTTAGGAGATGCTGCAGGTGGGATGACTTATGCAGAGTATTGCTGTTGACCGTGGACTAGAACCCACGTGTCCCGACCTCCAGCCTAGGAATTTCTCTCTAGACCCAGCTACCCACCTCAGGGCCACATTCGTGAACACACAGTCGCATCGCACCAGCCAGATGCCAGATACATCCGCTGATCTTATTAACCCTAACAGGTAATTGGCTCTACTGCCCCCAAACTATCCCGTTTTCCTTTCCCTCCTGCTCCCTTTATCGCAAAGGAAGAGTCTAGAGACCCTCCGTTTTAAAGTCCTGAGTGCGCCGAGACCGGGCGGTGCGCGCCCCGCGGGCGAAGAACGCTCCCTACCTGCAGGCGGGGACACTCGCTGCCGGCGACGCGCGGTGCTGCGCCAGGGACTGGAAGGCCAGCGGGTGGCGCGTCGCCTCGCTAATCACCTTGCCGAGCCTAGGGGAGGGGCCCCCGCCCACCTCTGACCCGCAGACCCGCAGACCCGCAGCTCCAGGAAATTCAGCTGGGTAGAGGCTGGACTTTCTTGCCCTTTGGGCTCAAGCTTTCAATTTAGCAGGTTGCTCGTCCTAGTCATGCATTTATATTTCACTGAATCGAAAGTGAAACCAAACCAGCCAGTAAAGTAGGTTTCCCATAAGTCACGTTTTCATCAAGAAGAGCTCCAAGGACAAAAATAAATCCAGATCTGGTTTAAACCAGGCCAACAGCTGAGAGCACGAAGATTTCAGACCTTGACTTTGCTTTTAAAACAGACACCTGCCATCAGGTTGACCCCTTTCTGATAAAAGCCTTTAAGATGGCCGAACATCTCGACATACCTCGACATAAATTCTACAACATAGAGAAGGTAAAACAACAGACCTACATGGCTCTGGCTTTTAGTCTAGAAAGTAGATATGTGTGTGTATAATAGGAAATATATTTTTAAATCATGGATTTTGTGACTTCCTCAAAGTTCCTCGACATAATGAAACTTCAACTGCTTTGTCATTAAAAGAACTTCCCATCCTGAGCTACCTCTTTAAGAATGCTCTGGATTCCTCCCATCCTACCATCCTTGGGATCTAGGGTGGGGAAGCATACTCTAAGTGAGGGCTAAGAAAGCCCTTCTGGAAACTTCAGCTCAATGGATGGGTGAAACTGAAAGGTATTATGACTCACACAGAGAGTGGGGGCGTAATTTACATAAGCTTTCCCCATTGTTGGACTTCTAGGTGCTCCTCTTCTTTCTTTCCTTCCTTCCTTCCTTCCTTCCTTCTTCTTCTTCTCTTCCTTCTTCTTCTTCTCCTCCTTCCTTCCTTCCTCCTTCCTTCTTCTTCCTTCTTTCCTCTGTCTCTCTCTTTCTTCTCTCTCTCTCTTCTTTCTTTCTTTCTTCTCAGTTTATGGGTGCTGTGTATGTATAGTATGTATACACACATGTATATGAACAAGTTTAATGAAAAAATACTTAGACCTATGTGCAATGCCATCTGACCTTTTCCACTTAATGTTTCGTTTTGCTAAAAATAATGGTCAAGATCTAGGATATAGACTTTATCATCTGATAGTGTGGTCTGAAAAAACTGGCTCTAGAGCCATCTACCACAAACTAGCTGAGTTAACTTGGACAAATAATTTATTGAGTAACCAGTATTAAGTCATATCTTCTTATATGGCCTCTATGGTCTATGAATAACTTTTAAAACTTGAGAGGGGTGTTTTGGGTTTTTTGTTTGTTTGTTTGTTTTATGAAAGCTATGTTCAGGGTCTACCTAAATGATTAAGAGGGAAGGCAGGAGGTGAATGGAATTTGCCTTTCTCTGAAGCTGTTGGTGAGAATTGGAAGTATTTACTCAGTTCGCTGCTCAATCTTTCCATATTAGTAATCTGAGGATTTGTGGGTTTTATCTCTTCTGCTTGTTTCCACCTTTCAACCATTCATTTCCCCATACAATCGATCAAGCTCCTTAATGAAATTTTTGGTAGCCTCCAGAGATAGAAAAACAGAATATGTTTAGAAAAAGAGAAATCTTATTTTATCATCTCAAAAACTATATGTAAATCAAAACAGCTGGGGAAGAGGATTAAGTCCTGAAAACTTGCATGAGTTTTGTGATTTGGGCAAAGTGGATGGAGAAGTGCTGAGATAGGAGAAGAGCAATAGACAGCCAGGGATGAAAAGCTAGACACACTGGTCATCTCCAATGTCACCATTTCCCATTCATATCCCACCTATTCATTTTTACAGGTGAAAACTCATCATTGCCAACGTTCAGTTTCTCCGAGTGTCTCTTAGGGTCACTTGCATCACACTTGACTTGGGGGTATGTTTTTAAAATACAGATTCCAAGCTCTGCCACAGATCTGCTGAATCTAAACCTCTGGGAGGTGGTCATGGGAGTCAACATTTTAACATTGTCAAATTTTAAAAAGTCCTGTTCACACTGAAGTTTTGAAAACAGTTTTAAGGTAAAAATTCAACCAAGAGTTCTTTGCAAGCACAGCTATAACTCCCTTTCCTCCATCTAATTTGGCTCATTTGCCAATACCACCCTTCACTCTTCCTCTGCCTACCCCACTTGCCATTTTTCCTTCTAAAACAGGAAAGGTGATCTTCATTTGTACTGATTTCAGGATGATAGATTTCAAGGTCTTCCACCGGGGCCTGCAGTGACATGAGCAATTTCCTGGTGAAGAAGCAATTTCCGGTAAACTCGAATGTTTAATAATGCATTTTATAGGCTCATGACAAAGGACTGAGACATTGTTTTTTCTTTTCCCCACCCTTTCCTCAAAGGACAGAAAGAACTTTCTCTTCTGAGTGAGATACAGTCCAAAAATAAACTAGTAAATAAAAATGTTAGGCACTGAAAAGTTCTATAAGAGAAAAAAGAAAACCAGGCAGGGCAGTGTGGTAGAGTGCTCATGTGTGGGGTTCCTTTAGTTATGGTGCTCAGGAAATGGATACAAGGTGATATTGGAGAAATGAATTATGAAGATAACCATGGTAAGATCTGCAGGAAGAGCATATTTGGCAGAAGAAACAAAAGGTGCAAAAACTATAACGGGAAACAAGCGTGGCAAGTTCCCAAAATGGAAAGATCATTGTAACTGGAGTATGGAGTACAAGGAGGGCTGGTGGATCAGATCATACCATGAAGGGACTTGAGGACTAAATGAAAAGGTTGGATTCTAATTGCAATGAAAAACTACTAGATGACTTAAAGTGGGGGAGTTACCTGATGGAAGTTTTATTAATAAAAGTATCACTCTAGCTGTGGTCTGAGGAATGGCATGTAGAGGGAGCCTTATATTCATGGAAGCTGGGAAACCGTTAGGAGCTGTTGCTGTAGACCACATTTAAAATATAATTTAAAAGTAGAATCAATGGAAATTGTAGATGAATATTAGTAAGAATGGAAACAAGAGAATCAAGGAAGATATATATGTGTATGTATATAGACACACACATATACATACATACATACATACATATATATGTATATTTTAATATGCTATTCCAAAATAGGATACTATAGATGAGTTTGGGCTTTTACAATATAATATAGATTCTCTAAGGAAGTCTAAAAATAAACAAACAAAAAACTCTCTTGGTAAATTGTTAGAAGCTGGGACCCTCAACACCCCTATGACTTGTCCTACGCACAGGCTTCGCCCTGGAAAATTCCTAGGACAAAAACAGCACCCCACCCTCCAGCTATAGCTCAGAAAAGAATGCGTTCCATGACGTGCTGACCGCGAAATGCTCCAGGGTGAGCTAACTGCAATTGTTCCCGACCACCTGCCAGGTTAGAGTTGGTTGGGTAATCAGTCACAAACAGCTTCGATACCGATACCGATAAGACGCTGATTGGGGCTGATTAGCCCAAACCCAAGCCTCATCGTTACCCCACTCTATTTTTCTGTTTCTACTTCCTTGTTTCTGTATGCTTATAAAACCTACAAAGAATCTAAGTAAAGTAGACCTTGACAACCATTTGCTTGGTCTCGTTCCTTTCTCTCGCCCATCTCTTTCAGGCACGGTCCCCCTTGACCCCCACGAGTAACAGAAGGTCCCGCAGGCTGGGACAGTAAATAACAACTGAAAACTGGTTTTACCCAATCAAGAATCTCATAAAGAAGAAGAAATCACAATCCTTCCTGGAAATGGAGAGGACGTTGGTGGTGGTATGATGGGGGTGATCCAAGGTCTTGGCCCTGCTCCTAGGATTTGCTATTAATCAGGCTCTAAAATGACTGGTCCAGAAAATGAGAAATTCACAGGAAGCGCTGTGCCAGGAATAAGAGCAAAGGGCTGTGAGTTATGGTTAGAGCTTTCCTTTGACAAAGCCTCAAAGGCTTAGAAATGCCATCAACTGAGGCATCGGCATTAAGGTATGTGTGTATGAACTCTGTTTGGGGATGCACTGTTTTACTGCCTTACACAATGTGGCAGGGTGGAGAGTAATTGGAAAAGTGTAGGTTTAAGTCATACCTGTGCATGAACAAGCAAAATAGAAATGTGTGAATTACAGATTGGAGTTATAGTCATTTCACAACCCCAAGTGAAGGTCACCAACCCAGAAATTCTTGCTAATTTTGTGCTAATCAGAATTGACAAGGCAAAGGGGACCATGGCAGCATTTTCAGAGTAAGATAGAATAATGACATTACTAGAAAATCAGAAACAATGTAAACATAGTTCTACCCCCATGAAGTCCAACTCTCTCAAGGCAAGGCCCCAGTGGGAGGAGATAAGCAGTTTTTCCAAACCCAGAAAGGGCTAGTTTAGGTTTGGATTAGAAAAGGTAGCCCTATTTTACTTCTGATAGAAAAAGGTTGTTTTAAAGCAAAATTATGGGGTATCCATCACACTGTGTTTTCAGACCCCAATAGTTTTGGCAATAACCCTCATTTGCTTGGTTTTAGTCAAGGGGATAGTTAATGCCTGCTGTGACTACAAACATTTTAACACAGTTAACTTATCCTTTTCCGTGTGTTCTTGGAAGGGAAGAGGAAGATGGATAGTTGGCATGGGGAGGAATAAATTTTGACGTTGACAACACTTGTTCCCAGGTTTGCTTGGAAGAACTTTGATGGGCACTGCTAGGCCAAGCTAAGCAGCACTTCCAGGGATGCTTACCATAGAAGGAGGTAGAGAAAGAGGACCAAGGTCCAGGTATGGTTTTTTGGGTATCCCTGGGTGGCACAAAGGGATACTGTATCCATCTTGTGAAAAATTGCAAAGAAGGAGGACCATATCATATACATGAAATAGGAACAACTAAATAAGGTGTTTTTCTACTGTTGTACTCGACACAGCACAGAACACTTATGATCACCAAAATGTGCATGGGGTTTTTCCTGCACACCAAGCAATTCCCCAGTGGACACCAACTGAGTGTCCTATGATTCAATTTAATTCTAACACTATCTATGGGAAGTTAAAGTCAGATCCTACAGGTTAAGGGTTGAGTCTCAGAACACTCTGGAACTTTTAATCAACTTGCTATTAATTGAGGGTTCCCATGACCCCCTCATTGGATTTCATTAATTTGCTAGAGTGGTTCACAGAATTCAGGAAAACAGTTTGCCCACATTAACCAGTTTATTATAAAGGACATCATGAAGGATACAGATAAACAGCCAGATGAAGAAGTACATAGGGCAAGGTATGGGGGTGAGGGGCTCCCATGTCCTCTCTGAGTATGCTACCATCCAAGCACCTCAGCGTGTTCAGCAACCAAGAAGCTCTCCAAAAATCAAGGATTTTTATGGAGACTTCTTCATGTACACTTTAGCAATTGTTAACTCAGTGTTCAGCCCCTCTCCCCATTTTGGAGGATCAGGGTGCGGCTGAAAATTCTGAGCTTCTAATTATGGCTTGGTATTTCTGGCCTCTTTTCAAGAGCCTACCAAGAGTCACTTCATTAGAACAAAAATCCAGGAAATCCCAAAGGATTAGCAGTGCTGTGTCAGGAATTGGGTTCAAAGATCACATAGAACAAAAGATGTACCTAGCACACATATTGCTAGAAAAACTACAAGGGTTTTAGGAGCTGTGTGCCAGACAATGGGGACAGAGACCAATTGTATATTTTTTATTATGATGTAATATCACACATAATAAGGTAGATCATTTTACTCATCAGAGTTCAGGGACTC